TACTGTTCACGAGGTAATGATATGCACATTTGTGTAAAGTAACAGGACCCAGAAATAATCATGATATATGTAATTATTTATCATAAAAATACGATAGTAACCTAATTTTACATATTAATAATATAATGCCCACTCATTTTCTTGCAAAAATGTATCTACTACTTCCTTCATTGCTAAATTGGGGATTAACTGATCTTGAGTTAATCGAACTCTAGTAACTGGATCAAAGTGTCCCACCCTTTGCAAATGTTCTTCAATATCTTTTCGTTCATATGTAATCCCACTTGGTGTAATTACAGGTTCTTGTAAAATTTCAAAACTAATCTTTCCACATAAATAATCAGGTACTTCTCTTTTCTATTCCACATATTCATAAAAATGTCAAATGAAATATAATTATTTTCATTCATAGATGATTAAGAACTTGAAAAATAGTTAAGAAATATAAACTCACCCTTCTTCTTTCATCCACTTTAGCAAATAAGTCATTAAGGTGAGTCATATATGTATCTCTTTTTTCTTCTATCTCTTCTTTCTTTCTTATAAATTCACTAGATGCAGCTTCTCCTTCAGCTTTACTATCTGCATCTTTAGCTGCTTCTTGTTCTTTTAAAGCAGCTATGCTTTGTTCAGCATCTTCTGCTATCAACTGATTCAAATATGATTGTAATTCAATATCTTGAACAATTCTTTGTTCTTCTCTCAATTCAAAACAACGTTTACGTGCTTGTCTTAAAACACTGGTCATATCATCTCCATAGTTTAATTTTTGTTCCTTGGCCAAATCCACAGCTATGACATTGTCATTTGAGATGTGTAATAACACGAAGGGCAAGTTTCACATTGTTGTACAAACCATGAATACCATAAAAAAGAATATTCACAAAATACTTCTATGTAGTCATATTATGATATATAATATTAAATATGCAATGTATAATTGTAAAGTATTTGTTAACAATAAAATGTAACCTGCTTTAAAGGTGAATATGTACAAATTGATATATTATGAAACTATATTAGTAAACATATAATATAGTTCCTTTTAACACAAAGTGCTTCATAGAATGCAACAAATTATAATAACATTATATGTATAACATTTATATTTATGAATACATTAAGGGAAATGATTAGATTATAAATGTTCAATTGCAGGAATCAAAGAAAACTATTACTAACATAATTTGTAATTGTCCCATATATTTACCTATAACTATTTCATCTCATAAAACATATTAGAGTAAGGTTTCATTGAAAATCTTGAACAAAAACATGGATATGTACCTCTCTGTAAATGTTTAACAGCTTCATCGAAAAGTTCCATTTGAAGTAGTGCCAGACCCAGGAAAAAATGACCTTTCACCAGACATGGATCGATGTCAAGAGCACGTCTGCAGTCTTGACAGGACGATTCCCATCGTTTTAATTTCAGGTTACACAGCGCTCGATTCGTAAAGTATTGAGCTTGGGTTGGATTTTTGATCTGCAGGAATAAGATGCAGTGTCGTAACTTGCCTGCATAGATTCATAGTGGCACTCACAATTGCTTTGGTGTAGCAGGACGCAGCATCCTCGTATTTATGAAGACTGAAAAAACGATTTCCTTGTTCCTTCAACTCCTTGTCGGAGAGATAGGCGGTTGTATACATCTTACTCATCTTGGCAACAAATCTTGTGCCCCGTCGAACAATCTTCTACATATGAATTCTTGACAGATAACTCACTTCATGTGTCTTACAGGAAAAGTTAGCCGAATTGTAAATAAATCAACCAACAAAATAATATTGTATAACCTTAAACAAATATGTGTTCTTCCATTTTCCTCGAAAACTTGTCAATCATTGACTAAAGTGTGACAAAGAAGTACATAAACAAAATTAAAAGGAGCTATCTTCTATCATAAAGCCACATTTTCAAGAAATGTTCCATGCAAAAATATTTTAATTTTGATGTCCACACTGCACAGCTCATGCGAACAAGCCTTGAGGTTACACTCTGTGATTCTCATATAAAATACTCTCCATAAGTTTAAGGCACTTAACATAAACATATCCATAGTGAATTAAACATAACCATAATCATAATTTTCTTACAAAAGTAATCAATTGTGGACATATGTACAGTCACGAGTATATTGAACCTTTTTAACTATAAAATTTTCATTTTTCTTTCATAACTTTCTTAAACTACGTTATTCAGTGCTTTGAAAAAATATACTAGTTCTGTATGTTAAAAGAAACTGCAAGATATACTTAATATTAATACAGCACTTCAATGTATAAAGATACGTATTTAAAAAAAAAAAAAGAACGTCAAACTCTCTTGACCCATTGTACATTAACTTTCCTATTAAAAATATAATTTAATACTTGTTACAGTTATTATACATAGATATTATAGTTTATTATAAGTATATTTGAAGGCTACTTAAAATATATATTTTGTTTGATTTACCTTGTTAAATAATTATAACATTATGTTTCAATCATTAATTGAAAAATTTATAAATACTAATGAATGTATACTCACATCAACTTAAGTATTTATACATAGAATTTTGTTTAAACAATTTGTGCAATTAATTTGAAATGTTACACATTAAATACAATAAGTAACTTAAGTAGTTTCCATAATCTAGTTAATTACTGTTTGAACCATGTTTTATTATTATGTATTTATATGTATTATTATAATATGTAT